TTCACTCTTTGTGATCCATATCCAATATCTGACTAAATTAGTCCTTGTGCTATTAGATTAGAGAGAACCCAGGTAACTAATTTATTTGCCCGAATACCAATACAAACGGCCTAATTTTGCAACAGTTTCTCACTGCAGCCAGCAGAAAACACCAGGTGTCACGCAGACAGGGATGCTGTTACCAGGAAACATTTTTATCTTCTCAGTCAGCAACGGCATTTCAAAACCAGATTTATCACACAGTGATGAGTGCAGCAACTTTCCCATCCCAGCTCAGCTGGTGGGGCCCATTTCTCCTCTTCTGGGCATCATGCAGCCGATCTCAAATTTATCCAGTGCTGTTGCCTTCACTTTAGGAGGGATGTGTCAGTTGCTTTCTGCTTCCTTCACGGGTTTCCAAAGTCATATTTCTGCCTTGGTTTCTCAGCTTAAGCAAATCACTTGCACCTCTGACCCACGTCTTTCTAATTTACTCTGCAGGGGCTCTCTCCTCGAGCTTAATTGCTGCTATAACCTGTTGCTTATCCTCTGCTGGAATATATTTATATGACTTTAGGCAAGCCCAGTTTTCAAAAAATGATGATAACGCTGTCGCCGGGTGAGCTGCCTGTCTCTGTTTTGTTTTCTTCCCAATGTCTTCGTATTCGTGTGCCTTTTTGTCTCCAAAAGCAAAGCCCGTGACTCTACTCACAGTAACTTCAGTGTGTGTGAAACCCCACGCAGATGTCAGGAGCGCTTCTGAGCCAGCTTTTGCCACAACTCTTGGGTCTCCTGCTTGGTCTTTCCTCTTCCTCGTCTCTCCTGGCGCAGTGCACATCCACAGCCTTGGTGTTGCCCCAAAGCTGTGCTCACCCTCTGCCACTACATCAGCATCCCATCAGCTGAAAACCATCCCACAGCTGCCCTGAGATCTGTTCAGCCTTTCAATCTCCTGGTTCCTATCTGTTTGGATGCATGTTGCTATGCCATGGAAACATCATCATGAGAAGCACTCCGTGGTCTGTCATATATATAGGACATCTATGTATGACATATACCTACTGTTTCCTGTGCTGTTGACTGCTTAACTCTACCCAGCCACTCCCAGCCTCCTACATAACTTCATATCTCTGGCTTCTCATCAGGTTTTGGCTTTTTTTTTTGAAGCTCAAATTCAGCTGCCTCTGAAATGATCGGGTTGTCTCTAGCGGAAGGAACATCTAAGCCCATGTGTGGGGCTGACTTTGACACCCTCAGTCAGTCCTACCTCGGCATCGAGTGCCGAGCCTTCCTTTCAGCATTTCTTCCTTCCAGCAAGCCCTAAGAATTGAATTACCATAATCACACGCAGTTCCACACAGGCAAGCTCAGCTCTAGCTCTCTGAGCAGGGACAGCCACTCACGCAGAGATAGGAACAGATGTCTCCCTCTGAATGCCTCACACTGTTTTGACACTGAATTTTGGTAGACAGAAGCTTCGTGTGCTGGGGTTGACATTCTGGTTTTTACCTTTGGGTGGCATTTGCAGAACAGAGTTGAGCTTCACTGTGCCCGCAGAGGCAGCCAGGAGCGCGTGCTGGGTACCGACAGCCCCTAGATTTTTAAAGGAATTCTCCAGACCATTTCATTAAGGCTTTTTTTTTTTGATCTGCAGGATTCATAAATACTTCATATTTTCAGTTGCTAAAACACCAGCCTGTGTTCTTTCCATTTCACACTTTGATTGCAGAAATGACCTTCCTGTCCATTTAATCGTTTTGCCGAGTCCTAAATGCACATTTAATTTTCCTCTCTGATTGGTAGCACACACATTGAGTTGTTGTTACTCATTAGTATGAGATGACCTAAGACCCCTTGGGATTTCAACACAAGTTGGGGGATGTTTTGCTTCTGACTGTAGAGTTTCTGTAGACACAGCCCAGGAAGTCAGTGATGGGACAGCATGTCTCCATTACCAGTCCAACACTACTCACGGCCACAGTCACCAAATGACCTTTACAACATGTTTGGGGACCTCATCAATAATAGGCAATGGCCCACACTTCTGCAGACTGTTTCAGCTGTAACTGGTGAGCTGCTCAGTGATTTAATTCTTTTAATTGTTCGACTGCTGTCCTCCATTTTCCTGGAGAAGGGACTCAAAATGCTATTTAGGGATCAAACAAAATCCCTCGCATTTTCTAATCTGTTTGGCACTTGTGGCAGACACCTAAAAAGCAACATATTGTGGGCAAAGATTAATTAAAAAAACCCCAAAAGTTCTCTTAGGAAGCCTGTTTCCTCAGGCACAGGAGGTCCCCAGAGAAAGCAAATCCCATGTTCAGCTGTGCATTAACCCCTGCCAATCTCATCAACTGTCAGCAGCTTGAAATGCACAGGAGCTGTCTTTCTCTCTTTGACAGATAAAACTGTATATTCCCTCTAAATAGGCAATCTCCTGATCGAGAAGATAAATTAGTACAAGAGCCCTGGAGAACATCTGCAAGCATCTGACAGCATGGCCCAAACAGTGAGGAGACAGTCAAATGCATCTCAATGTGGCAGCTGATGAACGAACGGTATTACTGTCCTGAAACAAATCTCAAAAACAAAAACTAATCTCAATTCATAATTAGATACAGCCATCAGATGGTCTGGTCTGTAGATAAAATAGATCTTTGGAAAATCCATTTCACCAGAGATTTTGTGTTTGACATTAGAGAAGGTGATGATGTCCAGAAAAGCATCTAAATATTTATAGAGTGAATAGATTTATTCAAAGGAGAGGCAGATATATTATGGATACGTAGCAATTCTATTTTTAAATGCATATAGGTTAAGTAAAATCTTACTCCTGTGAAAGAGTGGTATAGAAATACTCTTCTCAAGAATCTACAAACTCCTCCTCCTTCTACTCTTCCCTTTTATCTAAGTTTTTGCTTTCATCAAATGGTTTTCTTTTTTTTTTAAGTAGTGTAGCAAGTTTGTTGCTTAGGACACGTAAGAGATTCACCTGCTGCAGCACTCCAAATCCTAAGACCAAAAGTGCCGGCAGAAATTCAGAGTCATCACAGTAAAAATTGCCCTCCTACTCTGCAATCCAACACTACAACTCGGGAGTACTAATTACTTTATTACAATTGGGGAATCAAATATTTAATATCAAGTATTAGATAAGATCTCCCACTTCAAAATATGAAGTGTAAAGAGTACATTGGTGAGTGCCTATAGCTCAAGGTATAAGCAAAGGCTGAGACCTTGCTTTGGGCTTCTGTTCTAGGCTTGATCCAAATAGCCCACTTAATTCCTGAAGTCTCAGAATCCCATCTACGTTCTGGTACCACTATTCACTACTATCTCATAGAATCACAGAACCGTTTGGGTTGGAAGAGACCTTAAAGATCATCTAGTTCCAACTCCCCTGCCACAGCCAGGGACACTTTCCACTAGACCAGGTTGCTCAAAGCCCCATCCAGCCTGATCTTGAACACCTCCAGGGGTGGGGCATCCACAGCTTCTCTGGGCAACCTGTTCCAGTGTCTCACCACCCTCACAGGAAAGAATTTCTTCCTAATATCTAATCTACATTTCCCCTCTTTCAGTTTAAAACTGCTACCCCAACCCTATCACTACATCCCCTGATAGAGTCCCTCCCCATCTCTCCTGAAGCACCTTCAGGTACTGGAAGACCGCTAGAAGGTCTCCTTGGAGCCTTCTCTTCTCCAGGCTGAACAACCCCAACTCTCTCAGCCTGTCTTCACAGGAGAGATGCTCCAGCCCCTCTGATCATCTTCATGGCCCTCCTTTGGACTCGCTCCAACTGGTCCATATCCTTCTTATGTTGGGGACCTGAGAGCTGGATGCAGTCCCACCAGAGGGTGAGTCTGCAGAGGTGTCACCAGAGCGGAGCAGAGGGGCAGAATCACCTCCCTTGCCCTGCTGGTCATGCTTCTTTTGATCCCTCGCCCTGCTGGCCACGCTTCTTTTGAGCGGCCCAAGATGTGGTTGGCTTTCTGGGCCACAAGTGCATGTTGTCAGCTCATGTTGAGCTCCTCATCAACCAACACCCCAAATCCTTCTCCTCAGGGCTGCTCTCAATCCACTCTCTGCCCTGTATTTGTACCTGATTCAAAGAAGCTGAGATTCTCATGTAGAAGGCTTGTGAAACACCTGAAAGCTGCTACCAAGACAATGAGTTATACAAAGAACTATTCATCCTCTTCTTCAAAATGTCTCCAGCACCATTACTTTACCCAGCATAGATCTTGAGGCAGGGTTATCCACACATACGTCAATCCACTCTCTGCCCTGTATTTGTACCTGGTTCAAAGAAGCTAGGATTCTCATGTAAAAGGCTTGTGAAACACCTGAAAGGTGCTATCAAGACAATGAGTTATACAAAGAACTATTCATCCTCTTCTTCAAAATGTCTCCAGCACCATTACTTTACCCAGCATAGATCTTGAGGCAGGGTTATCCACACATACGGCCACACTATTCATAACCTTTGGAGCTGGGAGCTATTTTGAAGAGATTCAGCAAGAAATAAGCAGGGTATGCCAGATACTACCAGCATTAAGATTCCAGTTGTCTTTCACAGAGATTAAATGAAAGATCAAATGACTAAGGGCATAAAACCCCACTTTGCTCTTCTCCTTTATCCAGCTGTCCCTGTATATCCCAAACATTTGTGTTGAGTTAATTTGCCATTCATCCTAAGCTGGTGACGTTTCCACAAAACAAAGGCTGTCCCTGTATATCCCAAACATTTGTGTTAATTTGCCATTCATCCTAGGCTGGTGACGTTTCCACAAAAGTTTCTTTCCAATACCTCCTACAACCTCTTTACCTTTCTGGTCTCCTTTACACTTGAACTATCTAACCCATGAGTGGTAAGGGGTACCTTGGACCAGAGTCCCTCCAAGGCCTGGAGAACATGGAGCGCTGCAACAGACAGTGTCTGGTTGTCCTCCCCATGGAGCCAGGAAACCTGTGTGTCCAACCCCTGAGTGAAAATGTGTGTTTGCTTCATTGTTTCTTACCTTTTCAATTTTTTCATCAAGCATTCTGAAGAATTCTTGTTGGCTTTCAGAGATGTGCATGCTGAAAGGCAAAGGAAGATCATCAGCACCAAGAGGACTTCTTCCATTTTAAATACCAATACTGCAGTTCAGAGCTGCTGAGGGATGCAGATTTTTACCACTGTGAAACATAAATCACTTTCCACAAGGACTAGAATGACAAATTTTTTAAACATTTTTTTCTTTTTCTGAAAGATTATTGCATTTGGTACTGTATATGCATGCTAATCTTGGGATGGTACCTACCCATCTGCATCCAGAGGAGACTATTCCCTTTTCCAGGCAGGTTGCAGAAACTTAATGCCCTGCTACCTTTCCTTGGGAAAGTGAGAGACCCCTCTGTGTCGAGACAGAAGACCTTCCAAGACAGCTGACATCACCACCACAAAACGAGATGCCTACAACATAAGGGTAAAGGCTTGCACTGGATGGTCTGTCCGTCTTGCCAAAGCCAGGCTCTGCGCTCAACACCCAGGCACATCTACAAGCTCAGGCTGGTCCTTCCTCTCCCAGCTGGGTGGTCCTTGCTGCTCCCTGAATGGACCCAGCCGACTGTTCACTTCAATTAATTCTGCAGCACCAAGAGGCTGAGGGGTTAAGTGATACGATTCTGCATTAGTGAAGAAGGCTGGAAAACACTCTTCCTTGTTGTTTGTAAAAAGCTGATGGTGACACACCAGGCCCTTTCCCAAGGGGGACCTACAAGCTAAAAATACAGGACGGTTGGACACAAAGGAAAGGATGAGGAGACAAAGATGAGGATGCATGGCAGACGGTACTGGGGGTGTGTCTGCTTTATTTATGTTAAGGGGTGGTAAGAGCCTCCTTCCTGAAATAGTGATAATCCTCCTGGAAGGTGAAACTGGAGCATCCTCTCGACCCGCAGCAGGGAAAAGTGCCTGGGCCCATTGCGGGGCTGGAGAAATGTGCCAGAAACTCAGTGCAGGACAAAAAAAGATGCAAAAGCGGAAGGATGGGAGACTGGTGTCAGTGTTAACAGTGATGCCAAATGGTTAGAAGGACACAGAGCTCTTGGAGATTTTCTCCGACACTAAAAGCTGTTTTAGCTTGCTGAATTCCCACTCCTTACTCCTCTTCCTTGCTATGATCCTTTCAGCTGCAATGAGTTAATACTCTGCCCAAGTGCCCAACAACACCCTGCACTTTCCTACAAAGCTTAGCATTCATACTTCATTTGCTATCAGGATGAACGTATACAATGATTTGCTTATGCTGGACATAAATGAAGGCTCAGTTCAGAAGAGAAGGTCTGAGAAGTGTCATTAAAACCTAAAGCTGGTAATTCAGGAGAGGGAACAATTCACCTTTCAGTGGCTGTGTGAGTTTTTGTCCCCAGCTGTCTGCCTGTCCCTCAGGTTCCCACTTCCACCTGAGATGGGGAAAAAAAATAAATGCTTCTTTGGGTCATTCGACCCCCTCACCTGCTTATTCAGATGTCTTGGAGAGGACTTAAAGACAGTACAGCCCTTTCTGGGTAGGTAAGCACTAGAAACATATTCTTGCCTTTGCAACATCATAGATCCAGTTTCTAATAAAATGAGATGATACTGTAGTGACTCACTTCAATCACAATTTGTAAGGAAAGTAAAGGAATGGGGGGGAAAATGAATATTGTGTTGCCACACATGAAAAGTCCCAGCAGAGGTCCTAAAACCCTTGCAGGCCATGATTGTCAGTAAAAGGTTGGTGGGCAGTAAAATTGCCCTATGATTTAGAGATGCAACACACACAGGAACACACAGTGAACATTCTGAGGAGCTGTGTAAAATTATAAAATCCATGGCAGGGTGGGGAACTGCCAGAGTTAACAAGCAACTGGAAGAATCAAAAAAACAGAAATTCCAAGTAGAGTTCTTGGATATCCCTCCAGAAGAAAAAGCTCTCCCCAAATAGAAACGTAGATTTACTTTTGCCCATAAGAAGCACATCAGCAGGCATGAGAATGCATCTTCAGACGTTTCATGGCAGGCCAATGAAACCCCATTTGCCAATAGATGGACCTTTATCCCCTGTATAAACCCCATTTGCCAATAGATGGACCTTTATTCCCCTCGGATATCCCTCCAGAAGAAAAAGCTCTCCCCAGATAGAAACATAGATTTACTTTTGCCCATAAGAAGCACATCAGCAGGCATGAGAATGCATTTTCAGATGTTTCATGGCAGGCCAATGAAACCCCATTTGCCAATAGATGGACCTTTATCCCCTGTATCAGTACAGACTGGAGGATGAATAGATTGAGAGCAGCTCTCTGGAGAAGTACTTTGGGACACTGGTGGGTGACAAACTGGACACAAGCTGGTCATGTGGACTTGCAGCCCAGAAACCCAATCGTGTCCTGGACTGCATCACAAGTAGGGTGGCCAGCAGGGCAAGGGAGGTGATGCTCTACTTCTGCTTCACCTGGAGCACTGTGTCCAGCTCTGGGGGCCACACCACAAGTCAGACATGGACCTGTTACTGCAGGTCCAGAAGAAGATACAAAAATTATCAGAGGGCGCAACTGGAAGAATCAAAAAAACAGAAATTCCAAGTAGAGTTCTTGGATATCCCTCCAGAAGAAAAAGCTCTCCCCAAATAGAAACGTAGATTTACTTTTGCCCATAAGAAGCACATCAGCAGGCATGAGAATGCATCTTCAGACGTTTCATGGCAGGCCAATGAAACCCCATTTGCCAATAGATGGACCTTTATTCCCCTCCAGTACAGACTGGAGGATGAATAGATTGAGAGCAGCTCTCTGGAGAAGTACTTTGGGACACTGGTGGGTGACAAACTGGACACAAGCTGGTCATGTGGACTTGCAGCCCAGAAACCCAATCGTGTCCTGGACTGCATCACAAGTAGGGTGGCCAGCAGGGCAAGGGAGGTGATGCTCTACTTCTACTTCACCTGGAGCACTGTGTCCAGCTCTGGGGGCCACACCACAAGTCAGACATGGACCTGTTCTGTACAGGTCCAGAAGAAGACACAAAAATTATCAGAGGGGTAGAACATCTCTCCCAAGAAGAAAGGCTGATAGAGCTGGGGTTGTTCAGTCTGGACAAGAGAAGACTCTGGGGAGAGTTTATCACAGCCTTTCAGTACTTTAAGGAGGAGAGAATTTTTACTAAGGCCTACAGTGACAGGACAAAGGGCAATGGCGTTAAACTGAACAACAGTAGATTTAGATTGGACATAAGGAAGAAATGTTTTACGAGACACTGGAGCAGATTGCCCAGAGGAGTCGTGGATGCCCCATCATTGGAAGTGTTCAAGGTCAGGTTGAGTAACCTGGTCTAGCAAAAAATATGCCTGCCCGTGGCAGGGAGGTTGGACTAGATGATCTTTAAAGGTCCCTTCCATTTCAAACCATTCTGTGAGTCTGTGATTTAGCAGGGTAAGAACAGTATAAAACACTACTTCTTTTATTTTATGCTTCAGGCTGTGGTAGTCCCTGAGTTATAACCATATCTCAACATACTTGATGAAGTATACTTGATCACATAGCTGGCTAAAGATGTCAGCAGAGTCAGTTGTGAGAGTGAGCAAACAGAGCAAGAGACCATGAGCTCAGAGCAGGGTGCAGGGATGGAGCTCCACCAACATATGGCAGGTACCAGCACTCAGTGTCAAGAGGAACGACCAACAGCTTTATTTCTGTCAAAGACCCCTGTAAATCTACTGCTGGCTCCATACATACACTGTAGAGTCTAGGGCTCTAGACATAAAAATCTAAATCCTCTTACGAAAGGGAAGAGGATCTTACTTTTATAGCCAACATTTTAAAACTCCCTTCATTGGGCATGAGCTTATAATTTGGTACATAGTCCACGTTTTGTTTTGAAGTAACAAGGATAAGAACGGTCCTACAAGATGTGTCTGATTACTTATCTATTCATTTGTGGTCTTCTAGCAGAATAGCCCTTTTCCACATAATGCCAATACCCCCTGCCTTACAGTCAGAATTATCAAGGCTTTTAGATAATAAACCTTAATAAAAAATGTGCACATGATAACAGATACTTGCTGACCTGGTCATTAGAAACTCAAATACATGTAGCCACTTTATAAAGAGAAATCCAATGGTATGTTGGGTGAACAGCAAGGGCTTGGGCAAACAGCAGAGGTTCTACCCAACAATCGAATCAATTATTTTTGCAGAACTGTGACAGAAACCTCTGCCAATGCAATGCCTTTAGGGTTTTTGGTGAATGAAGCTCAGTTCTGATTTTTGTGGGGACTTTTAAAATCAGAGTTTGATGAAAGAATCGACACTCCAACCCCATGCAGCTTCTCTGCCTTGGATACCCCAGAAGAGATAACCCATCAAAAAAACCAGCCCTATTTTAGCCCAGACTGATTAGTCTCCTGTTAGAGCATCTTAAATACTTATCTGACCCTGCCGGGAAGGAACAAGTCACAATAATGAAGTACAGCTTTACTGAAGGGTGATTTTACCTCCATCTCCCTACTGTGAACTTCTTTGCAATTACATCTGAAGCACTTGATTTTTTCCTTTTGAAAGGAGGCTGAATTATACTGTCAGCTCATTAGGAAATTACTGAAGTTTCCAGACTTGAAAATGTGTACAATGTACTTGGTATGCAGCAAGTTGAAGTTAATAAGTGCCCTGAAGGCACTGCATAAAGAACAGCAGTTCTGGTATTGTTCAAAATCCAACAGCAAAGCTTTATCACTTCTTTGTTACCAACCTGATATACGATTCCATGTGATCTGTTATTTTCAATCCAATTAGTGATTAAAATGTAAGTGATTTAGATAAGAAATGAGTTACTAATATCAATAACCAGCTCTGTCACAGGAGTGGAATATTTGGTAGCCTATGTAATGCTGACTGATGTCAGCCAAGGTACAGCACAGAACTGTGAGTGAAGGATGGAGAAACTCTCAGCTACACAAAACCCCTCATTTTAAGAAACAAACTGACTGTTCTAAAAGGATGAAGTTTACCATTCCTAATCCCAGCCAGTACAGCTGCTAACCTAAATCAAGAGCTACCAAAAACTTCCCTGGGCACTTAGCCGACAGTATTTAAGAACATTAGTGCATATACAATTTTGTGTATGTGGAAGTTGTACAGAAAGCTGAGAAATAACACAGTATGGTACTCCTATAAGGCACCGCAAGATGCATCTCACACAGTTTAAGTCCTGTGTTTTAGCCTTAAGAACATTAGTGCATATACAATTTTGTGTATGTGGAAGTTGTACAGAAAGCTGAGAAATAACACAGTATGGTGCTCCTATAAGGCACCGCAAAATGCATCTCACACAATTTAAGTCCTGTGTTTTAGCTGTGCAAAGGACAGGGACGCCAGCACAAAGTGCTGCCCAGCTGTGCTGCTGGTATCAGACACAGGTGACCTTACTTATTTTATTTAAATTGGGTACGGTTTTAGGGCTGCTGGAACCACCAATTGGTTTTTTCTAGGCCATAATTGGGAATGTCACAGCTTAATCCTGTGTTTATTGTTTTTATTGCTATTAAAGAGAAAAATTGAACTTACTTTGCTCTGGGTTGATGTACTAATCCTGGGATCTCTTTATTAGATTTAAGTCTTGCATTTGAACTGGCACTTTTTTCCTGAAACACACCAAAAAAAAAACCAAACAGAGAAACCGTCAGTATTCATGGAACACACAAAGCGCGATAAGCATTTGTCATGAGTGTCACACTCTGCTGGGTTCAGGCTCTTCTACCTGTACAACCAAATGAGAAAGGCTCATTAAAAACAAAATTAAAGGCAACACAATTGATGCAAGGACCCCAGGTGGGCAATTTTTCAATGTCATGGGCTTGGTGGCCTGGGGGATTGCCTCCAGGTCACCAGGGGAAATCCAGCCTGGACGGGCAGTGCTCAAACACCGCACTGAGTAGTAACTCTCCAGTAGTCCATGGAAAATGAGGTGTGCAGTTGTGGCTGGGCTCCTCACAGAGGCTTGTCAATGATAACATTAATTGGCACCTTTAACAAAGGAAGACAAAGCATTGAAAAGGCAGAGCCCTAGAGTCACCCCAGACCTGTAGGAAAATTGTTATGTGGGAGAAAGCATACATCAAACATGGCAGTGCCAAGAGCAGCAACGGCAGATTTGACCTGTTCAGCCAGAAAATTGGACACAAGGGGCTTGAGGAAGCAAACCAGAACATGTTTACAGACAAGAACAGAACCATGGCCTCCACAGAGGACCAGAGCCATTAAAAACATCTTAAAAAAAGGCACAGGGAGGAAAAAGAGTTCAGTTGAGAGCTGGCACTTCAAGGTAACATCTTGTCCTCATGCCAGAAGTTTCTATAGACCAAAGCTTAGTGCACACAGGTATCTATTGTCTGCAGAAACCTGGAGAAGGATACGACCCCTTCCAGATCTTCCCAGTGCTGTGTGTTAGGAAAAGCTGCTGGTACAGATGGGAGAGCCGAGTCAAATTTTACAGCCGTTCCACAAATCCATGTGAATTTTTTAGGCACGTCATGCCCATGACAATTTAAGAAATGCAAACCCAAGAATTAGTGCTTTTGTAGGTAATTTTGGTAGTTTTGTTTTGTCTTATTTAGTGTTTAAATGTCTGAATAACACAACATGATTTTTAAGAGGGGTACTAAATCACTGAATTTGAAAAAAAATAGGCTGTCTAGCAGTTAATATTTTAATGAATAATTCTACAAGGGCTGTAAACATCAACTGCCATGGCATATTTAACACTGCTTAATGCATATCTTGTAATCCTCCTAAACAGAAAACTGTGTCTTACATGAAAATAACAGTGAGAAACAAGCCTTTCTCTGAGCCTTAAGAACCATCTCTGTATGTTATGTCAAGTCAAAGCAGCAGAAGGTGAAACGACTTCCTTTCAAAGCATCTTCTAATTTTAACAGCATTAACTGGGATGACTATATACATGCATGCTGTACATATATGTACATAGTCATACAACTCAGATGAGTTGATGTACGGGACACACAACTGTCAAGCGGGATGACTATATACATGCATGCTGTACATACATGTACACGGTCATACAACTCAGATGAGTTGATGTACGAGACACACAACTGTGTGCTAAATAAATAAAAAGAGAGAGGGACAGGTCTCAGGGAGAAGACACCAAAACCAGAAGCTAAATCCGCACCTCGTGCACCAGGTGAGCCTTTATCCTCAAATCTGCTCCACCAGTTCGTTCACCACAACACAGAGGCAGAAAAAGGGAATGGTCCACACTACACATCTGGGATGGCACACCTGGATGGTCCAGCAGTAGGTAAGTTTTGGAGCCTTAGCACCTCCCACCCACCTACTGCAACACAAGGTGAATTTTGGGCTATCTTCTGTCTCTGCATACCGTCACCCCGCAGGCACAGACCTTTCCCCACCAAAAAACTGCTGCGAATCCATCGCCTCAATTAAAAGAGAAGGGAAGCTCTGATTTACAGCTCCTGCGTCGGGAGCTGTGATAAATCAAGGCAGTGGGAACCCAGCTTTCCACACCTCTGCTTGTGGTTTGGCGTCAGCGCAGCTCTATCAGTAGCTGGAATCAGCACAAATCCCAGCCTAAAGAAACTTCTCTCACTTAGGAACAAATAGAAAGACACAAGGAAAATATATGTTCTCTTCTCTCTGCGGGTCCCAGAGCAATATTTAGAATATTAACTGACTCACACAGGAAGACAGAAATAAAATTCCAGTTTGCTTGACTTCAAGATTACAAAATTTACTCTTTCCCTCCTATTGCTTCCGGTAATTAACACACCTCCATTACCTATTACTTACTAGTCTTCTATTTAATCAGAGTATGCCACCTTCTCCATCTGTTGCTCAGCAGGAACGAACAGAAAAAGAGGAATTAAGAAGAAAATAAAACCCACCCAGACCTTGAATTGGCTCGTTGCTTTGTTTATAGCTATTATTTTTAGTAGTGATACTTCATTAAACTGACCAAAATATTGGCTTTGATAAAAACAGATATTAAAAAAATACTTCTTCCAAATACAAATGGAGTATTTTCACCCGTCATTTTCAAGACATCGGATATTAATAGTTTGGATTTTAACATTGAGCATACAAAGAAATCCAAAATGCTTTAAGGTAGTCAGATTGCTCTTCCAGGTTGAGTAGTCTTTGGTTGAAGAGTCACTTCCGTCATTCTAACCTCATTTTCTCCCTTATTTAACAGTAAGTAAGTTACCACTCATCAAGAGAACTGCAACTGGTTTTAGAGTCCTAAAATGGAAATTAAGAGGCAAAAGTTTGGTTTTCTTCTAGCTCTGCTTATAAGGATTATTTAACAAAGACGCACTAAATGATGCCTCACACCACAAGCTTAAAAGTAAACCCTCCAGGATGCTGTATCGATGGCTCAATGATAGTGGCATCAGCTAGTCCATAGTAAAAAAGGCGAATAGTGGACATTTTACTCCCCATTATTTTGCAATTAATCATTATCAAGGTAAAGCTGTCATCCAATCAAGGTGATTTCATTTGATAGATTCGTTAATTATTGTTAATTCCTCCATAAAGGATGCACTGTATCAGAATTTCAGGGCATTAACAGATGGCGGTGACTCTGCTGCCAGATGCTATTAACACAGCAACAGCCACTACTGCCATTATAATTAAATATCTGTCAACATTTCCCTTGATGCTTCCCCGCTTACAAACTCGTTTCTAGCGACATGTGAGCTTAATTTGAAGTATTTTGCTGCTTCATAAGACTGCCACAGATGGACTCAGGTAAGCTGCTAATAGTGCTTCTTCTCAACCCTCTTAATCCTCATGGCTTCCTAGAGAAGGGCTGATTTTTAAGGGATGCTTCTGTAAGTGCTAACATATTTTATTAGCAGACCATACATTATTACATGCATTTTTAAAAGCTTATTAAATTGGCCAGGAAGAAATCACTTAAAGATGAGAGCAGCAATGCTACTACCTAATCTAATGGCTAATTTTAATTAACTTGCAGTCATATTTTGGTCTTTAATTGTTTTTCCTCTAAAGTTACAATAATTAAACAAATACACAACCAAATGGGGACACCCCCCATAAAACAATAAAACTTAGTGTAAGAAAAATGGAGTTCTTAGTTTCAAGGCTGCTTTTTGTTTAATTTGGGAAAGGCTGAAGTAGCCAACTTGCAACAGGATCTTGAAGCTACTGATGCTTGAAGGTGGCACGTTCCCCGAAATTAGTATCATTTTTAAGATTGTCTCTGTAGATTTGCTACTAAAATATACTGAAATTGATAGAAACATCAAGGGTCTCTCCAGACAGTGATCACATTTTACTCAATATTGGTAGTTTACAGCTATTCAAATATTTATAAAATAATATTCCTGATTTATATCAAGATGACACTTGTCTTCAAAGGAGCCCAGAGAGCCTTTCAAACTGCTTTCTGGAGCCATGTAAGTCATCATTAAAATCATTTAGGGGAAAATGAAGGACTTATTTTATTTTTTATACTATAAACTACTCTTAAAAAAAATAATAATCATATTTGAAAAGAAGAAAACCGAATGTATCAGTAAGAAATGGCATGAAAGATGAGATATAAAATTTCAATATGCCAGCCCAGCACTTTTTACCTCCCTCAGTAATGAGGACCAGCCCCAGGTAATAAGATTTTCCATGGACTGTTTTGATGCATCAGGGTGAACAAGAGAGAAGTACTGACCTATGGGATTTTACTGAAGTTTTCTTGCTTTATACATACATGAGCATTTTTTTTTTTTTTGTATTATGATTCAGCAGGAAGAGAGCCTCTTTCTTCTTTCTCTAGCTACCTGGAAGCAAAACCACCTGAAAATGTTATTTAAGGTAACTTTGTAACAAAAGGGCAAATTGAGCATGGAAAAATCTCAGATGCTGGTCAAAGAAAATTATCCTTGGATCCAATTTCATCAGAGGAATCACATTAACCCTGCGCATGGAGTCCACTCTCCTCCTCCTCTTGGGATCCTATGCATGGCATGAGGGATGCTGAAAATCATGGACTCATCTGATGATGATGGAGGTTGAGCTTTTGGAAAACAAGGCTGGAGAGGAGCTTGGTTTGCATACACGGAGCACTGGACTGTGTGCTCCAAAATATACACCAGACCCTAAAGCCAGGGCTGAGTAACAAATTTAACCTTCACGGCACACATGCAAAGAGAGACAAAGAAATAGATGCTCATGGTGAGAAGAAAGACATTGCCATCACAGTCATCAGAAGGACCTTCTACCTTTCTAAAATAAGTCACTCTTAAAAGGAACCTTCTATCAGCAAGTGATGAGAAAATCTGATATTGGAACAAACTCCCCTGATCTCTCCAATAACCTCCTAGGTGGCTCCAACTGTGGATGCAGTCATACGGACTCCTAAACTCACAACACAAGTCAACAGGTGCTGGCACCACTCCACTACTGACGCCCGTCTTGCCCCGGGCTCCTAGAAAATGATGTTTGCAACCTGCCACGGGAGCTCAGTTTTACGGAGCACCTTGAAACTGAGGTACCTGAGGCAACAACTATGTTCAGCCTGTCCGTTTGACCAAGTATCCTTGTCCTGTTGCCTGGAGCACCTTGGTCTTCAGAATGAGGACTTGAA